ATTCATTCATTCATTCATTCATTCATTCATTCATTCATTCATTTATCATATTTATATAGCTGCCCATCTCACACAAGGTGACTCTGGGCGGCGTACAACAATTACAAAGAATAAATACATAAAAACGATTACAGATAAAAAACTGTAAAAGAACGGACTGTTGCTTCCTGTGATTTGGGAATTATACTTGGGTTACTGCAGACTAAAATTCTATTTGCCTTTTTTTTTTTTTGCAGCCATACATTATTGGCTCCTATTCAGTTTGCAATCAACTACTATTCCAAGATCTTTTTCACATGTACCATTATTAATCAAGGGATCCCTGGTCTTATACTTCTCTATTTTTTTGTTTCCTAATGAAGAGATTTGCACTTATTTCTGTTGAATTTAATTTGACTTCTTTCTGGCCATTTCTTCCACCATCAACGTTTTTAAAGTCTTAACTGTCCCACTCAACTGCATCTTCTGTGAATCTGATAGCCTTCCTTCCACCTCTTCACCCCAATCTTTAAATACTGTAGAGGACCCAGTATTGATTCTTATGGCATCCCACTTTGAGGAGAGGCCATTGATTAAGTCTCTTTGAGGAGGATGTTCAAGCTAGCTGTGTATCCACTTTATTGGCATGCCAGTCATACTTCATTAGCTTTCTGATCACCATATCATGGGATACTTTGTGAAGTGTTTTGCTGAAGTCAAGTATATTATATCTATAGTATTCCCACAATCTGTTAAGGAAGTTACTTGATTTAAAAGTGAGATAAGATGATGCTGCAAGATTTATTCTTCACAAATGCTTGCTGACTTCTGGTTATTATCAACACTGTGTTTTAGGTGTTTGTAGACAGATCTATTTATAAGCCACTTTAGAATCTTCCCAAGTATCAAAGCCAGATAAGTTGATCCATAGGTTGCTGGACTTTCCTTTTCCCCTCTTTGAAGAGAAGGGAAAGATTTACTCTCCTCCAGTCATATGTTCTTCAGGATTTCTTAAAGATCATACATAAGAATGTGGCCAGACCGTCTGCTAGTTCTTCCAGTATCCCAGGATGGAATTCATCTGGTCCTGGAGATTTAAACTAATTCAGAAGGTATTCCCAACCCTATTTCTGTCAGTCTCAAGTTTCAAATTTGTCTCTTTGTTCTGTCCTTCACAATTGCCTGATCTTGTAGAACACACAACTTTTTGTCAGAAAAGTCTAAACCAAAATAGAAGCCTTTTCTTTATTAGCATTTGTTTTCTTAACTGAGCAGCTGGAATACTGATTCTTTGCTTTCCTGACACTGACTCTACAGTTTGGAGCTTCTAGTCTGTACTCTTCCTTTTTGACTTGGCCATCTTCCCATTTCTTGTATGTGTTCTTTTTTTCTTTTCAGATACTTACGAAGCTTTCTGTGTACCCACATTGGGTTTTTTGGCTGCCTCCATTTTTCCTCCTCTTTGGAATTGTTTGCAGTTATGTTTTATTACGTCCTTCTTTATGCATTCTGATCCATCTTGAGATCCTTTCTCCATTAGCTTCTCCTATCATGGCAGTGGCATCTACAGAGGGGGCGGGGGGAGGCAGAATGGCAGAAGTAGTGTTCTGCCATTGCAATGCAAACCCCACCCCTTATGTGTGTTGTGAAGTCTAATGCATGTTCCAGAGAAGTGGAGCTAGTGGTGCAATGGCATGTTGCTCATTTTGACACAAGCAGCAAAATCCTGTGGATTCCTATGTATTCTACTTATTATTGTTCTGAGCTTATTAAAATATGATTTTTGAAGTCCAAGATATGCTCCGATTTGATTTCCCTTCCCATCAAGAACTCCAGCATTGTCACTTTCTCTTTCCACTTTGTCAACTATGTCTTCCTTATTGATGAATATCAAATCAAGAACATCTGATTGTCAGGTCAAGGATAGCTGATTAATCAGCAGATAGCTGATGAGAGGTTTCTAGACTAGGGACACTTTTGCACAATTGAAATTGGCTTGATATGGTAGGGATGCATGGAGTTGCTCTCCTGGATGAGTGGAAAGGACCCTCCACAGTCCAAAAATCTGTATCTAGTGATAATCTACCAGATGCATCTGGAAAGCTTACAAGCAGAGCATCATGGTGATAGCCATCTGTGATGATCCTGGCTGCTGACATGGCTGCTGCCAAAACTATTTTGGGTGATAGCCAGCAAAGCTCTTCTGGAAAACAGCCAGCAAGGCTG